GTGTGGGGGGAAAAAACCCTTGAAATATGTAACAAATAATAATAATAACTGAGAAATTATTTTACTTTTGCTATAGATTAAATGCCAGTGAAGTATTTGCTACTCTAAAAACATCTTTAGACACAACAATGCAAGTTTACAGCATTTGATACTTTGTCACTAGCTGCAGTTTATAATTACCATACAGAAGTTTAAGAAAACCACTAAAACCTGTGAAATAACAGGACTTCCCTCTCATATTAAAGCATCTTATAAATTCATATTTTTAAGGAATTCTAGTGTAAGTGTTTAGAAGTTTGTTTTCCTTACTGTAACGTGCTACCTATGAAATCTAACAAGGTTACATTAGCAGGATCAGGTTCTTAAGATAGAATTCTATCAGATATTCAGCTGCTACGATCTGTCATCTAGCTGGAGCTGATGTCCCACTAGGACTAATTTCAGACCAGCAAAGTGCTCCTGACAGTAAAGTAGATACAAAACCAAGAGTGAAAAAATGTCTTCTTATACAAGATGGAAGTATATTGAAAAGGCACATTTTTGAAAACATCTCACTCTTCCAGCTTTTCAGTCCTGTTTAGAGTCTCATTGTAATATTTTCACTTTCTGCTAAGACAGGATCACCAACAGAAAATAAAATCAAGACAAGTTCTGAAATGTGCTTTACTTTTTTGGCATCAACTCTTGCCCTTTTCCAGCCCCATTTCCATCCAAAGTTTTTCCAAACAAAAAGAAAATAGACATCTGAGTGCCTGTAAAAAACAAAAATTATTGCATATATTATTGGTTTTCTACGTATCTCTATTGAGTCACTTGAAATGTTGTAATTACATATATTTCCTGCTGTTATAAAATGTTGGTGAAAGGTTTGGTTACTATGGTCCTTTATAGCTCTGGAAGAACTGACAAGTGGAAAGAGGAAAGTAACTTTCCAGTCAGTTCAAAGGATATGGAGCATGGTCATTTCCACTTGCAGGATCCACTCTCTATCAGGCTCTACAGACATTTCTGTGTCACTTTCTGCAGTACAGCATCTGGGCACAATATTTTCCTCTTATTACTTTCTTTTTCAATGAAGATATTATTAGTTTATAAAGATCACGAAAAACTGGACATGGGGTGAGAAGTTTGCGAAAAAATGTATGGTTAGGCAGTCCATATCATTCTCCTCAGAACATGCCTGTGTCCCTGTGTTTTAGGATTTATGATTTCTCTGTTGTTTCAAGTCTCACACATACTCACAAGTATCTCAAATCCTTCTTCAAAACCATCAATTTTGCACAGGCATCTACTTGATTACTTTTCTATATTACTTAACAAAGCAAATTTTGTTAAAAATATTTATGCTGAAATTCTAGAAATAGCATTATACTCAATGAGAAGCAAGATTTAGCTTGAACATTTGAAAATCAATCAGATTTTCTATTTCTAGTCAAACAGATTTCCCATGTCTAACAAGAATTAGTTTACTAACACTGCTTTCAAGAATATTTATTATTCTTGAAAGAATAGGCTTGTGAGAAAGAGAAAAAATATTTATTTCTCCTCTTTACTGTGTGACTATCATGGGAGCCATCCCACCACACAAGACAAATTCAGCATTTTCAACTATTTTGTATGGATGACGCAGTTTAGTGACTAAAGCTATTACGACCCTTAGCAGACAAAATAAAATTATTCTGGGAAATAGATGTGGGGTGCAAAGTTTTAAAGCTTCTTCATGTGAAAAAAATTGTTAATAAGAGGATTATCAACAACAGTATTAGAAATCTTTAATTAAAATACACTATGATCTGGATTCTATTTGCCATATACTTGCATCTGGCAAGCTAGACAAGACTGGAGTTTTTCAGAATATAATTACAGGTGTGATTTTGAGAAGGGCAACTATGTTTACTGGCTTGAAGAGGACACTAGAGCATATATAACTGAAGAATATACCATCACGCAAAAGAAAAGCCTCCAAAGGCTTGAAAGGAGGACGAAAGCAAGGAAACATTATCCCATCATCCTTCCATGCTTCTGGAATGTGGGCAGATCATAGTAAAAGTTTAAGCAGCAGAAAGATTAAAGGAAAACTGTTAAAGCCAAAAAGGACACTCACATCATCTGGCATAAGTCAGTCGTGCCTCTGCAGACTTCAGTGGAGATTCACTGATTTACGCCAGTTGATGTTTTGGCCCGACGGCTTCACAGAAGATACTATCGATTAATTGTGTGTTCTATTCTGATTAAAAGCTTCTCTTGCCATCACAGCACATCTTGCCCCAGCTGGAAGCCACTCTGGCATTTTTCTTTTTGCTGGAAAGCACCCTATAGGCGAATTCCAAAATCATAATAATAATGATTAAAAAAAGAAGTCTGCATAAATTGTCAACTACTGTTAGTTATTATTTACCATTTCTGGCACATACAGCCATGCCAGGCACTTATACTTTGAAGACAATTCCCTTCCCTGCAGAGCTTAAAAGACAAGGGCCAGTCCATTCTGCAAACATAGGGCACTGCTTTACCAAAAATTATTCCAGTTACTTCAGTGGCATTCTTCCAGCAGTAAGGCTGTGCTTATTATGCATGCTGGTAATTTCAGGTCTTAAGTGATGAGCATGGCAAACAAGAGAGGGTAAAACACAAATATATATCATAGAGAAATGCTTCAGATGCACTACATTTGTAAAGCTTTCTGAACCTGAACACTTTTTCTGTACATTTAATGTGTCTAGTTTTCACAAAAAGACTCAAACAAATCCAAACCAACCAACCAACAAAAACCAAATCCCACCCAGAAAAGCCCAACCCTTTGAGGTTTATAGTTTTTCAAGTACGTGATGCTTAGCACGTAGTTTCTACTGTGATACATTATTAGGGAAGAAATCCTTAGCATTTGGTTAAATAAAATAAAATAATTTCCTAAAAGTAGTTTAGGAAAAGGAATTGGGAATGGTGGCAACACTTCTGGAAGAGTAACACCTGTATGGTTTCAAGCATGGACACCCAGTCCTACACAGAGTATTCAGCTGCAGACTGACAAGACTTCTGTCCAGCCTTCAAACTAAAAAGAAAACTGGAACATGGGCCCAGCTGTGGAACTGAAAATGCTATCAGGTTTGAGGAGGGCTGCAGGGAAAAAAAGGCAGTAAGTTATGATTCTTAACCATGAAGATCACTTTTAACTTCACATCCTGTGTATCAGAAAGCCACTATCATCATTTCAGAGCACCTAAAAATAGGAGCGACCTATCAACTCAATTAAAAAGTATGTCTAGGAATACTCGATGATGTGAAGGCACAGTATCTTTCCAAATATTACATGGAACCAACAAGTATTTAGTTTTAATGAATAGGACAGATCCATATTGCCAAGGAGTGGCCAAAGTTCACGTATTTGTTATACAGTGAATTTATACATAAAGACACACTCCCTTCTTTGCCCCATTCTCTGGGCCACAGGTTTTTCATGGTAACATTTCATTACTACCTCAGGTTATATCATTCACTTTGACAAAAGTTAACACTTTAATAACTTTTGGTATGACTGTGATATGATTTGAGACACAAAGTTAAAAAAAAAATCTGTTAGACTGCTTCATTTGTACAAGGCTTTTAGGAAAGCACTATTATTTATCTGTTGTAACTTTTAAGACATAGGTAATTTCTTGTTAGTTTTCACTAGTCTCAAAGGAATGCATTTTGCAAACAAATCCACAAGAAACAAAATCTGTGATGACAATTTGCATTTATGTATAAATTTTCACAAAATAAAACAATCTTGACCATTAAGAAGAACATTTCCAAATTTATCAGTTAAACACACAGCACTGTATTTCCATCATAGTCACAAGATTTAAAACACATTATTATTAGGTGCTTTAGCAAACTCTTAACAGCTGCTGAGAGCATGAGCATTTCTACAGCTATTGGCAAGATCTAGCAGTTTGAAAATCAGGAAAATGAGATCCAGCAATGATATTTTTAGGATCAAACCTTTCAAAAAAAAAGTCATATACTAAGGAATCATACATCCAATTTGCAGTTAAACTGCCAATTGTACTACTCTGCCTCTTATGTAGTTACACATTATGCAGTAATCTTAATTTGACAAGGGGAAAAGTTGGTACTATTACCAGAAGTACTCAAAGAACTTTAAAATTCCCATTGTGAAACAGCTGCTTATCAGTGTGCGTATTTCTGAAATTGTATTTGCTGCTCTTTAAAGGTTACTTATTTCAAACAGAAATTGATTGAATAATCTTTTTCACTTCCATCTGAAATGCTTTACAGGAGTTACAGAGTGTTTCAATTTGTTACATTTTCTGTACTGGCTTATCTAATTTATGGAAAATTGTTTCCTCTTTTGAAGTGCTTGATAAAGATTCGTTTGAAGGATGCAGTGTTCCACATACATTTATTACTACAGAAAAACTTTTAAAAAATTACACTGCTAGCAATAGAATCCATGAGAACACTTCAGGTTTAGAAATATTTTCAGATAATCTATTTAGCTCTTATTTGTCTTAAAGAAATCATGTGTTTAGAGGAGAGAGGTATATTTTGCAAATTCTTAAACTCCATCTGGAACTAGCATTTCATATTTACCAACTGGTGCAAAAGAGTTCAACTGAACATGAGAGCTAGGACTCCACTTAATTTGTCATCCATGATTATCACTTGGAAGTCACTGAGTTTATTAAAGACAACTACTGTGTGATAAGGGCAGTAGAGACACTATTAACCATGTCATTTAAATTGCCTGAGCTGGCATCGTGCCCAAGTCCTTCAGATCCATATATCAACACACTTGTTGCTGACAAGGTCTCATTTTAGGAGGAAGACGAGGAACACCCTCCAAACAGAATATGCTGTACAGATTTCTACAATAATTCATGAGAATAAACAGTATTACTCAGTTTTTGTATTTTTGATTCCTACACAAGAGAACAACAAAACAATGAAAAATAAGTGAAAGACTCTGTTCTTACTAATAAAAAAAAGGGAGAAAGCATTTTTTCAATTTTCATTTAAAATAACTTGAATTTGCATTTTACAAGCATATTTTACTTGTAACTGCGATGCTGACAAACTAACAAAGACACTGCACTCAATCACTTGCTTTGCCAAATTTTATGATCCCATATCTCTCCCACCCTTGCCTCCTCCACAGGACCTCTTGCTTTCACTTCATTAAGCCTGTAGGAAGGAGAAAACCTCTGGTGGCTGGATGTAGTTTATCTTCAAAACTAGTACACAGTAACTTTATTTCACTTCTGGCAAAAACCATGCCACAAAATAACAACACCACATTTGGAAAAGATGCAATTAAGAACATACAAGGATTATTTTACCCACAAATCATACCAAAATAAATACTAATATCTTTGATGGAAACAACCTACGTGTTAAGTAAGACATACTACTTCCACTCTAGAAAAGAGTTAGAACAGAAACTTTTTCATTGCACTCTCCATCTGTTGTTTTCCTAAGCTATGTCCTGATTAAGAAAATAAAGGCTATCCCATTTTTGGAGGGAAGGAATTCATTAGCTTTACAAGCATCTAAAGCATCTTTACAGCTAATCTTTTTGCTAAAAAATCCTGTGCTTCCCAATATGCACACCGTGTCCAGCAACAACTCGACAGTCTCCTGTTTATCACTTCCCAGCATGGGTGTGCTGGCTCTGCGGGCCTGAGCAAACACCCAGGTACTCACAGTACACACGTGGGCAGGATATAAGTGCTGGGGAAGAGGCTCTCTTACCTTCCACAAATTGTCCTTCGCTGTCTTCAAGTGAAGATCTGGAAACACAAATCCAAACCCCCTAAAGTAAGAGCACAACCAGCAGCCAGCCACACTCTCTGCCGTTCCC